CACTCCCCCATGTCGCCCTGGGCCCCACCCATGGACAGGACAGCAGTGAGCAGGGGCAGGCAGGGATGGAGCAGAGGTGGGGTCTGGGGTGGGGGTGGGGGGAGATTGTGCCAGGCCTCTGCCCCCTAGGGATACCCCTGCTTGGGGTCTGCATTTGTCCCCTGCCCTTCCCTGTTCAGCTGGGAAGCCCCTTCCTCACTGGCCCTGCCCGTGGTGGGTGGTGGCAGCACGCAGGGTGCGGGGCTGGGTGAGCAGGGTGCACCGGGGGAGACAGCCAGCAGGAAGGTGAAACAACGTGTTAGCTGAGCTCAGCTCTCCCTTCCCCTCCTGCCCCGTGGGCTGGGGCGCACAGGCTGGGCACTGGGATAACTTTGTGACTTGTTGCCAAATTGTTCACACGGGCACAGCCCCGGGTGCGCACCCGGATATCGGAGTAAAGGGGCCGCTCCATGCTCCAGCCTGTTCCTCTTCCCCAGCGTCCGCCCCAGGGGCCTCGCTCCACCGTCACTAGACTGCAGTGGGACGGCCCCGCGCCTGTGTATGCAGGCAAGGGCTGGGCACTGGGATAACTTTGTGACTTGTTGCCAAATTGTTCACACGGGCACAGCCCCGGGTGCGCACCCGGATATCGGAGTAAAGGGGCCGCTCCATGCTCCAGCCTGTTCCTCTTCCCCAGCGTCCGCCCCAGGGGCCTCGCTCCACCGTCACTAGACTGCAGTGGGACGGCCCCGCGCCTGTGTATGCAGGCAAGCGCCGGGGTGCAGGACACACTAGTTAGCCACGCTTGACCGCCTCGGAGTCCCGCCCGGCCAGGAGGTGGGGAAGATGAATCCCTGTGGGGCCGGCAGCAGGGCAGCTGCTGGGAGGATTCACGGCAGTGCCGGGACGTGATGGAAAAAGGGAAATCCCAGGCGGGAAAGGGAAGAACCCAATGACACTTAGGGCTACGTCCACACTGCAGAGTTAAACTGGAAAAAGAAACGCTGACTGTGTGCAAATTGCGTCTCTTTCCCATTTACTTTTGAAAGAGGCTTTTCCGAAATTTGGTGCATCTCCACGGTGCCAAACTTCGGAAAAAAGCCTCTTTCGACGCACCCCTTATGCCTCGTAGAACGAGGGTTACAGGGATGGCAAAAGAGCGCGTCTGCTTTTTCAAAGAAATGTTTGGAAAAGTGGACGCGTTCCTTGGAGGCGTCTCTGCGTTTCCGGGATACTGCAGGTCCCCCGGGAAAGAGCTGCAGCCTAGACGGAGACTGAGTGGTGGGAGCTGGGCTCACTGTGTCCTCACCGCTCTGGTTCCAGTAATGGAGGGACAGCTGAGATCTTCACCGTGTTCGCCAAGACGCCAGTCAAGCAGCCAACGGGGGAAGTGAAGGACAAAATCTCAGCCTTCATTGTGGAGAGAGCGTTCGGGGGCGTGACCAGGTAAGGGGCCAGGCCTGGTGTGAGGGAGACTGGACAGGCTGGGCCTGGCAGCTGAGAAGAGGCACCGGGGGTGCGTGGGAGAGGCCTGCCTGGTGTGGAGGCGGCGAATGGGGAAGCCCTTCACAGAACACAAAACCCAGAGTCAGCCATGCAGCGAATAGGCTACAACCGCCAAAGGGAGTTTTGCTTCGCACCGCGCACTGCTGACCCGTGGGATGCCTGGCCAGGCCTTGCTGGGGAGACCAAAAGGACTAGCTGAGCTCATGGAGACTGGGTCCAGCGATGGCTGTTAGCCGCCACGGTCTGGGTCGGAGCCCCGTGGCACGCGTGTCCCTAAAGGCCTGAGAGCCTGAGGCTGGAACTGGGTAGAGGGGCAGGGATCGTTCGGGGAATGGTCCTTCAGGCCTGGCCAAAGCGTGTGCAGGGCCCAAGGCAGCACGCTGAGCCGCACGGCTCCTGGCGGGTGGGTGGGGCCGGGAGCTGGGCAGCGCGGGGCCCTGACTGCGCAAGGCCCATGACTACCACCTTGCTCGCCTTGCCCAAAGGCCGGGCCTGGGGCCTGTTCTGTTCTTTCCCTCTGATACACCTGTCGGCAGGCAGGACACTGGGCTGGACAGACCTTTGGTCTGACGCCGGCTCCTGTGTCCTTGTCTTGACATGGCTCAGCCTGGGACTAAGAGCCAGGCACTGACCTGCAGCCCGTCTCCGCACCCGTGCGCCTTGATTGCCCTGCCCGTGCGAGGGCGAGAGCAACACTTCCGGCCTCCGGGCAGGGGGGGGGTCAGTGCCTGGCGTGTGCGTGGTGCTTATTGCTCGCTCGCCGACACCGGAGCAACTGCTCTCTCCGGGGGCTGGTTTCGTGGGCGGATTTCACGTCTGTGGGCACGTGGAAGTCCTGGAGCTCGGGGCAGCTCCCCCCTGAGCAGCTCTTGGACTGATGCACCTTGGCAGGCCTGCAGAGATGGGACGAGGGACGGCAGCAGGAGGGCGATTCAGTGGGGGGCCTCCCAGGGACCTGGAATTGCAGCTTGTGTGAAACAAGGATGTGAAGTGTCGTGTAATTGACTAATCGAATAGTCGATGCATTTTCGCATCGATTAGTCGATAGGGCGGTGCCGCCCCTTTGAAATGCCGCCGCTGGCTCCATGCGGTCCTGCCGCTTTGAAGCACCCCTCCCTCCCCCACCCCCGGCCTTGCTGCCTCTCTCAGATAGAGGCGCAAGGGGGGAGCGACGAGTCGCTAGTCGATTAGTCCTTAACATCCCTGCTCTGAAACTGCACAAGCCCCCCCTCGCCCCTGTGCCACATGCCACGTGGCTCGTGGGGGGGCTGGGCCCTGGGGAGCCTGTAATGATTCTCCTGCAGCCACCAGGTGCCACGTCCTTGCATCTACTTTCCCAGCGTCCAGCCACAAGAGGGGCAGGACCAGTCTGCTCATGCCCCACTTTCACTTTCCATTTGTGCCACAACACAGTCAGGGTATGTCTACACTACCCCGCTAGTTCGAACTAGGAGGGTAATGTATGCATACCGCACTTGCTAATGAAGCCCGGGATTTGAATTTCCTGGGCTTCATTAGCATAAGCGGGGAGCCG